TTACAAGCTGGGTATCAATCGAAATGGTTTTGAAAAGCTTTGTTTCTTAGCTCAATTGTAGCAGGGTTGCCACTTGTTTAAAAAGTCATATTAGGTAAGATATTCTATATACATATATAATATGCGAAGGGATTTTTTCTCCAGGATAAAAGAGCTCTACCGTTCGCCCGATTTTCAAAAATAAAACTGATTTTAGTTTTTCGAAAAGAGTTGCCACCTGTTTAACAATTAAATTCAAGTTATTTAATAATCAACGGCATCATATCCGCACCGTTCGTTCGATTTTCCAAAATGAGGTGTCAAATTAAATGGCTTGGGCCGCAGGTGTGCAATAAGGATTTATTTTATTGGAAAGAGTTGCCACATTTTAAAAAATTATATCTAAATTATTTAAAAAATTGAAAAGCTTTGTTTCTTAAAGGCCCTGCACACGGACCGATTTATCGGCCAACCAGTTGGCCAACCGCTAGAAGTTGGTGGTAAATAAGCCGTGTGTAGGCAAGTTGGCAAACCTTCGTCAAGTTGTTCGTCATCTTGGAGTAAAATCAAAAATTTTAGATTTTTGAGACAGATTGGTCAACTTGTTGCTCTGTGTGTAGACAAGTTGGCAACCTTAAATGCGATTTCATTTTTTTAAAGGCGCATTAACGTTAACATGTGTTTTTCGGTTCGTTTCGCTAGTGAAAATGCGTAAAATTTGTGAAAACGAGGGCGGTAGCAATAACAAATACATAAAAAGGAGAAGCATTCACAGTTCAAAAACTCTCACTCAAATGAAATCGGCCAACTGGTTGGTGCGTTTTTTAGGGTATTTCGCTAAGTAGGTTGGTGAACTGCACGATAAAAACATTAGAAGGTAAAGCCATTCTCTCAATTCGTCGGCCATGATTTTTTCTGACGTTTGCAAACATTTTAAAATCATATAAAATTAAAAATAAAAAAAATGAGATTGTTCACAACTGTTGTTTGAGATTAAAAATGATAATGTGTGTGTGAGCCTGAGCTCGAATTTTAAAATTATATTGTTGGCCAGCGTCAGACTGCCTCTCAATGATTTTACCTTGTAATGTTTTTATCATGGGTGAACTGGTTGGCCGATAAATCAATGCGTGTGTAGAGCATCTTAGCTGAACTATAGGAGGGATGCCATCTGTTTAAAAAATCATACTAAGTAAAAGAAATATGTATCACCATATGGGTAACAAACCAAAGAGGTCCAAACACCAAAGACGCATGGCGTTTCATCAGCAATGTTAAAGGCAACAAACACAAAAACGGTGATTGGGCCACAGAAGACAATTTAGAATACCTGGAAATGCTAAAGTCGCAAGTAAGAGCCGCAACAACAATACAAGCAACGCAACCAGGTTTGTACCCTTCACATCTGACACAGCAGCCAAACATCATGGTTAATTTTTCGTATGACAATTTTGAAGAAAAACTCAATAGCAAAAAGTCGACAGCAGGGGGGGTAGACAAAATCACCTTTAGCACTCTCAGACATCTACCTAGGGAATCCAAAGAAAAACTGCTAAAGGCCTTGGAATCAAGTTACCATAACAACGAAGTCATTGAGTCGTGGAGGCGAATCATAATTGTTCCTATTCCCAAAGCAAATAAAGAATTGGATGACTTAAACAACTTTAGGCCAATATCATTGATCTCAGTTGTTGCGAAGAGCCTCAATATGCTCATCAAAGATGCCCTGGTAGAAGAAGTAGAGTTGCGAAATATAATCCCACAAAAAAGCTTTGCGTACAGAAAACAAAGATCGTCATCAATGTGCTTAAACGAAACCCTGCATTTTGTAGCTGACAAAAAGAGTAACAACGAAAAAGTTTTTATTTGCTTCCTAGATATAACTGACGCATACAACGGGGTCGACCTCGAAATCTTACACCGCACGCTGTTGGAATATAACATAAACCCAAAAATTGCTAATTGGACGAAAAACTTCTTCTCCTCGAGAATACTGACTCTAGGGCCACATGCGGTGGAAGTCAATAATGGACTCCCTCAAGGTAGCTGTTTGTCACCAATACTTTTCAATATTTACACGGCCAAGCTTCACTGTATAAACGATAGCAAAACGCAAGTTTTTCAATTTGCAGATGACATAGCAATAATTTCGCACTGCAAGTCGGAAAAAGCTGCAATCCTCAATTTGAAAACCCAAATTATGAACATCCATGGGATCTGCAACTCTATAAACCTGAATTTCAACTTGGAAAAAACGAAATTCATGTACCTTTCTGCAGGGAACAAAAGAAACTTTGAACTAACAATCAGTGGTAACCAAATTGAGCAGGTAGTCACAACAAAATGGCTGGGCAGAATTATTAACTCGAACTCGACAATCAAAGGGCAAGTTGGAAAGGTCGAAGACGAAATAACAACAGGTAAAAATTTACTTGCAAAACTGACTACAATAAAAGCAGGGTTAACACCCAGAATAGGGCTCAACCTATTCAAAGTATTCGTAAGATCCAAGATGGAATACAGCAACACCAGCTATGCCAATGCTCCGAACTGCTACTACAAAAAACTACAAACAATAGCAAATGAATCCCTGCGTAGATGCTTAGGAGTTCCCCCTAACACACCAACCCTAGCTCGATATGCCATAGCATGCGAGCTGCCACCGCTAGCAAGAGCAGTTTGGTTAACTTCAAAAGAGCTGACCAAGCAATGGTTTCTCAATCCAGATTTAAGAACACAACCAAAAAATAGTAGACCGGTCAAATCAAGCTACAGCCACACCTTTGAGAAATTTAAGGACATTTTCAATCAAATTAACACAAACACTACTTTCATCAGACACCCTAATCTCAAATTAATAGACTCAAATCTTAACAAGTCCAAAAACAATGTGGCGCATGAACAACTACAAGCTATCTTTAGAGAACAACAAGCATACTATCTTGATCAGGGTTTTCACATATTAGCGACTGATGCCTCCGTGAGTGAAAATATAGTTGGTTGTGCTGTATACGACACAGCAAATAACGTCTCCTACTTATACAACATACCCTTTTACCGGTCGACGACGTTTGGGGAATTAGTAGGACTGTTACAGGCGGTCAAACTTGCTAAAAAATATAAGTGGAATAAACCATGCATTTTTACAGACAGCTTGGCTGCTGTAAAACTGTTAAAATGACCGTTAACCCAGAACCATATAGTGGCCGAAATCCACAATCAAATTGCCAATTCACAAGTAGAAACTGCAGTCATCATGTGGGTACCCAGCCACGTTGGCGTAGCATGTAATGAAAAAGCTGACATTGCAGCTAAAACTGCAGTGAATCACGGCCAGACGCTTTCGATTGACTTAACGCCACAAGAGGCACTTATACAAATCAATACTCTACTATGGACAGAGACTAAGGACAAGATAAAGGAAAAATGTGTAGACTGGGACCATAATATCATCAATAGTTTTGCGATAAAGGAAAGACGACCTTGGTTTAAGGACAAGAGATTTGACTTAGAGCCTTATGACATGAAGCTCCTCAACAGACTAATTACCGGACACACATACAACAGCATCTATTTACAACAATTTGTACCAAACGTTAGTGAATACTGCAACACTTGCAATACGCTGGAAACTCCTGATCATCAAATCTTCCACTGTGATAGGTACAACGCTATGAGAACGAAGTTTAAACTCTTTGACACGTACAAGACCATAAATGAAATTATCACCACTAAAAAACCTGAGCTTTTTAAAGAGCTAATAAACTTTTTGCGAGAAACCAAACTAGATGGAGCACTCTAGGCCATACAACAGTTTAATCAAAAAAAAAAAAAAAAAAAAAAAAAAAAAAAAAAAAAAAAAAAAAAAAAAATAAAAAAAAATTTTAAAAAAAAAAAAAAAAAAAGCAAAAAAAAAAAAAACATAGAGACCGGAAAAAAAGGGGGGAAAAAAAAAAGAATCGCCAAACAACTTAATCGCTCAATTTAAAGACAAGAAAACTAAAAACTTTGTTAACCTTATATAAGACTGATCAAGGCGTAAAGGACGTAAATAATCCTTCGCTTTTATGTTCATTCCAAAGACAGATGCCTAATTTCTATTACTTTTCGGAGTATAGATTTATAAATAAAAAAAAAAATAAATAAATTTGATGTATAACTTTCTAAAGTACCGGAACAATAAACACCTTTTATATGTCAATAACGTTAAAAAAGGGAAAAAAAAAAAATAATAATAATAATTGTAAACTCATCGGACCGATCAATATGTTATATTAATATATAATCGGTTCTTTTTTAAAAAGACAAGCCACGGGCTCCGACTTACGTGTAAACTATGCTACATGTCGATGTACAAATGTAAATAAATAAAAGGAAAAAAAAATTGTATGTTCAATGCATATCTGTTTGCATTAGAGAAACTGTATGTTCAATGTAATCGTTTTGTCTTTGTATCTGTTTTGTGTATCTTCTTTTTGTCAAAGCACACCAACACCTCCACCCATATTCGGCACAGTAAGGAGCATCAAAGGAAGAACCTCTGAGATAGCGGGAGACTTCAAGAATCAACGGATTACCTCAATACTCTTGTATAACCTGGCATATACATTACAGTATTACTGCCAACAATCTTGGACTACAGGGTCCATAAAGCCACGAAAAAAAAAAACCAAAGAGGTTTCAGAAAGTAGTTTGAAAATATTTTGAAGAGGACTGCCACCTGCTAGAAATGTCGAATTTAGTTTACACAAGTTATACGAAATATCAAAATATATATATAAAACGAAGGAGTGTTAAGAAATCTTTAGTTAGAACTCTAAGAATATTTCTGAGGTGTTGGAAGAGGTTCGCCACCTGTTTAAAAAGTTAAATTCAAAATATTTTAAAAGTTAAATAATTTATTGAAATATGTGTATCAATCGAAGAGAGTTTGAAAATTTTTTATTTCTGAACTGTATTTAGCGGGCTTGCCACATGGTTGAAAATTAAAAGTCCACTTAATTCATCAGTTAATTAAAATCATGCCTATTACGATATCCAACGGATGCCATCCGCACGGATCTAATATGATTCTCACTGTCATAACAAGCGAGAGTGAAGTATTACATTCGTGCGAATGGCATCCGTCGGATACCGTAATAGGCATTAATATGTATCGCAGTGTCCGGCGAAGGGGAGCTAACAATGATTTAGCTTGAGTACCTGTTTGAAAGTTCCAACTCAATTAACTAATTCAAAAAGTATATGAAATATAAAGATACCGTGGTCAAACGAAAGACTGTTATGAAATCTTAAGTTTGAAAATTTCAAGAGAGTTGCCACGTGTTTAAAAAGTGAAATTCAAATTATTCAGTACATAGGATGAATTATTAAAAGATGGGTATAAATCGAAATGAGTTTGAAAGTGATTTATCCCTGACCTTTATTTAGGAGGGATGCCATTTGTTCGAACAATCAAATTCGAATTAGTTCATCAGTTTAAGATTTAAGAAGATTCTAGTTTGAGAATAATTTTGAAAAGGAATTTCAAAAAAGGTCAAATTAGAAATCTTAGCCCGTAGATGTATGATAAAGTTTTAGTTTTTTAATTAAGAACTTTTTTCATCGGTAGAGCGTGATTTGAAATTCGATGAAAAATACATGCATTATGGGAGACTGCTGTTCACTCAGAAACGGCTGGACGGTTTTGATGAAATATGGCACTTGGATCTCTTATAACTCTGGCTAACATTTGGAATATATTTTAGGTTTTTGAAATTCAAATTAGGGCGTTTTTATGCCGAGCTTCTCCTACGATTGGTGTCGTGCGCGTTGATGTCACACAATTGTATTTTTATGAGAAGCTGTTTTTCATGGCAGAACTCATATTCGTATTGAAATAAACGTCCCGAGAGACGAAAAAATAAAAATCCCTTGTAATTATTATGAGTAGACGTAAATAATTTTCGGCTTGAAATAAACGTCCCGCGAGACGAAAAAAAAAAAATAAAAGTCCCATATAATTATTATGATTATTGTTCAGTAATAATTGTAGAGCAATATTTAATTTTATTTCTTATAATCGTTATGGTCTCTGATTAATCTGCATCTTAGTGGTTGCTATCTAATGTCTAAAAGAAATTTAAATTGCTGTATATTTATTTTCTAAGGTTTCCACCGGCAATTCCCGCTGTTATTATTTTCATTGAAGAATTACTTACGCACGTACACTGCCTTTCAATTATAATCTAATCCACTGCACATACCTACATACATAAATATGTTTGTATGTACCTATGTATATAGTTTTTTTTATTATACGATTTATTCGTCTAGTCTTTAATTGATTGTGTTTTATATGATTTCTGTTTTATTATTTCCAGACTATGATCCCAAAGTGGTCGAACAGAAAGAGCAGGCGCAGCCTGCATGTTTACCGTTGAGCTATGTATTGCGTTTCATATCGGAAGATGCACGTAAAGAGAGCCCATTTTTATCCGCCAACAGTACGGGCGTTGAACTTAAGCGGAAGTTGGCGATCAAACATCACAGTTACAGTATGTCGTCGTCAAATCGCAGCAATACGCCCACTGGTGAGAAAGCGAATCAGTATGAATATGAAACTGTAATCGCACTGATCCGCTAGACAATTATTTATCAATCAAGTATTTTACTAATCAACTACGTTTTGTTTTCACAATTCGTGGTTTTTCACTTATCTGATAAAATTTCTAGGCAGTGAAATGGACGATGATGAAATGGTTGTCTCAGAGTCGGAGGACAGCAATGATTCTTGGACAACTGAGGAGTTCAGTTCCGAGTTCATAATGCGTTACGGGAGCAGGTGATTGCTCAAGAAATTTTTTTTAAGACAAATTTAAATATATATATTTGTGAAGGCATTCCGGAACCGGCAGCAATGGGACACCGGGCAATGAGAAGCCGTTTGCGTGTCCTGTGCCTGGTTGTAAAAAGCGTTACAAGAATGTCAATGGCATCAAATATCACTCGAAGAACGGCCACAAAAAGGACGGAAAGTAAGTGTGTACAAGAAACAGAAACCTTCATTATTAATAACTTACTTATGTGCATATTACGGTGCGAAATTTGGTGGGAAATACCTAAAAAGATTTAAAAATTAATGAAAAACAATTTTTAAAAGAAAAACACGAGAATTTCATGAAACAATTGGGTTTGGTGACTACCTCGTGACTTGATGGGAGTCTAAGGGGTTAAATTGCCGGAACGAGGCTTGTTGAAAAGTTTCATCGACCGGAAATTGGCGTAAGCGGACGCAACGTAGTGGCGATAGAACGAGAATTTTGATAAAAAATTTGAGTAATTTCCAAACGTTGTTGAAGCGTATATCTCTCTACGATTAAATGGCTTAGACAGACGTTTCGAAATGTAAAAATATTGTTAAATCTTAGAATAGTGAAAAACCCTTTATTTAGTGATGTAAAAATAAGTAAAATTTGCTAAAAGAATTCGAAGTATGTAATACTATCATACTCAGTTTTTAAAAACACACTATTGTTTTAAGTATTTTCAAAGAACATAGTCTCAACTACTTAAGTACTTAAGGAGTTAGTATTGGCTAAATTAAAATTTTCCCATTTTGGGCGACGTAGTTTCAGCTTCGTAGTCAACTTGCCACTCCAATGCTTTGAGAATTGGTATAATGGTACAGTTCGTCGCTGTTAAACCCAGAAATTATAAAATGAGTGTAAACAACCTCTTACAATTAAAATGTAAATTCGCCCAGCAACTTCAAAGTTGTAATTGCCATATCCTTAACCGCTGGCAACAGAACTGAGATTTAGTTGTCATTAATAATCGACCCTTTAAATTGAACTTCTTCATCAAGATTTCTAATTAATTTTTATTTTTGTAGAGTTCGCAAAGGCTACAAATGTCACTGCGGCAAGAGCTACAAAACTGCTCAAGGCCTGAAGAACCACGCTTTGGTGGCACACAACTCCTCGCCTGAGAGCGTTTTGAGCACACAACATACGGCTAATATGACTGCTAACAACAATGGGACCAACGTTAATGTGGGCTCAGGCATTATTTTGCAACGCAGCAGTTCGCCCTCGCAGTCATTGGGTTCCCTAAGTCCATCCAGCATCAGCAACATGTCAAGCAGTGCCAGTAGCTGTCATGGCAGTGCTACCAGCAACACTCATAACGGCAACAGTAACTCTGCTGGCAACAATAATGTTGGTAACAACAACACAACCGGCGCCGTCACCAACAATGTGTTGCAGCAATTGGCTAATAGTACACTTGGCAACGGAAGTCCCAATGTGGTTGCCACCACAAATGGGGTTGGACTCAGCTTGCATCATCACCAACACCATGCACAGCAGCAGCAGCAACATCAGTTTAGCAATCAGCAGCAGCAGCAGCAACCGCAACTACACAGCATTGGATCGTCCGCAGCAGCTACATCAGGTAACAATAACAATTTAGGGCGCAGCAGCAGCAGCAGCGGCAACACTACTGGCATCAGTGGCAATGGCCTGCTCACAGCACAAGCAGCAACTAAAACTGCGACTGCAGCTACAAACTTGTTGGCCGCTAATGCAACGGCGAGTAAAATACTCAAGTTGGCTACCAATGCCGCGGCACAGGCAGCAGCAGCTGCAGCCGCAGCCAATGCTGTTGGTACAGTTGATATCATTGCACAGCAGCAGCAACAACAACATAAGCTGCAAGCAATCGTTGATAAAGTACAGTCAAAACAGCAACAAAGTACAGCGACTAAAATTGCGCTGCCAAATTTGGTAAACTTAGGCATTCTCACCCCGGCCACTTCGCCTACGAAACCACCTACGCAGGCAATGGCATTTACGCAACAACAACAACAACAACATCCAACCCAACAACAAGCACAGCCACCACATAATCTTCCTTTGACACCCATTAGTCCAAGTGGGCCAACATTAATCCAACAACAACAGCAAAAGGGCATTGGGCTATTGCATCACCAACAACAGCAACAACAACACAAAAAACCGAATCAGATTATTGGTAGCATACACTTGACTAATGTATCTACATCGACGTCAACGTCCTCAACTGTATCGAATGCCAACATGAATAACAACAATAGCATCAGCAACACTGCCAATGGTATCAGTGGTAATATTGTCGCTACTACGGTTGCAGCAACGGTGGGCAGCGGCGTTGTTGCTGGCGCTGGCGCTGCAGGCATGGCGAACGCTGTTGTTGCTGCTGCTTCTGCTGACGCAGTGGTAGGCGTTGTCAACGACGAAACGTAGCCTATACTAAAGACATTACTAATGCGTCGCGAATTTAAATAGAAGAAAAATATTTAGTTATTATATATTTAGATAACCAAAAAAAAAAACTAAATTTGCGCAAAGTTAAAGAACATCTGACCATTTATAATAAATCGGCTGAGAGATAGTATGCCCGCGACATACCTAAGCGTATGGCTGTTGCTTGTTATTATAGGAAATAAATAATTTCAAACTTACACCCTTTAAAGTAAATAGAAAAAAAAAAAAATCGTCAGTTCCTTAAAGAATTACCGAAATACTTTTTGAAGCATTATGAGCATTTGGAAGTACCCAGAGAATTAAAAATAAGTACATATATTCATTCGACGCTATTGCTGAATTCATTGTAGATTTGTTTTTCGAAAAGTAGGCGAATATGTTATCACTGAATATGCATAGCTATATGTAGCTTTACTATGAAAGTATTTGCGTAGGATTTTATATAACTATTATCAGTCCCCTTCCGTTAAATCCTAGGATGATCTCTTTTTTTGAGATATTCCAAAATTACGTTTAGCGAAGTTATGGCTGACGGTGACCAAGGCTTTTTTACTACTCAACTCAAAACTTGCTTTGGATATATACAGGTTGCTATTACGGTACTCACGTCGGCAACGAAGTAACTCAATAAAAGTGTTCGCTATGCAAAAAACTTGTACAAGTTGGTACCAATTGTTACCAAATCCTGTTCGTTTGGCCATAAAACTAGTAAAACTTGCAAGGAGAGAGCACAATTTTTATAATTCATTTGGAGGCGAAGTTGCAAATTCGTGCTGGAAAAATGTTTGCCGGCAAGACATACATAACATAATTGAAAGAGCAAACAACGTAATTGCCGGTGCTCGTGTGATTCATTTATGTCGAAAATTCAGTTACTTCGTAGCTATTCAGTTATAACATTTTCGTGGAGTTCAATCGGGGCCTACAATGGAGTCAGCATAGACCCGACTGATTTGTGTATATTGTGAATGAAAAAATTGTACCCTACTTCAGTAGCGTAGATTTTTGGGAAATATTTTTTAATTTATATTCCAAATATTGCGACTATTTCCTGAAAGATGATAGCCCTCATGAAATCGAAATTCAAAAAGTAAGCATTTAACGACCTATGTAGATCATACATACTATATAAATACATATGTACATACATACATAATTGAATACACTCCAATAACATGGTAAATATAAGTGTATTTAATTATGCGTAACTCTTCAAATCTGCACTCGAACAAAAATACCTAATACGAAAAATTAATGCTTTGAAATTAATTGAAAATTATACGTTTACTCCTTCTATATACACTTGTATGTATGTATATTTACGAATATCTAGTGTTAGTGAAAACCTTCAAGTTTCCTTGTAAATGTAGACTGCTGCGGTTTATTTTAGAATTTAAAAATTTTTGTACATTTTAGTTGATTCGTGCAATACTACTTTTTATAAGTAATTTATTTAGCTAATTATTATTGTTTTATACTCATCTTTTGTGTATATTTTTTATACTGAATTTCCTAAACACTGTATTGTATTGCTTCGATAATTGCTGATCTCCTATTGAAATCTAAAATTTAGTTATATACAACAAACGCTATACTGTAGACATCAAAAATAAAGTTTATGCTTGATTTGTCATTTGAAAGTAAAAACATTGAATTTTAGTTAACTTCGCTAAACAATTGCATACATACAGTATCGGTCATATCTATAACACGCCATTTCAAAGTGATATTGTGTGCCACTTATGTTTATTTATATATTTTTAAGAATTTTCAATTAAAATTTAGTTCATTCTCAGACATATCCCATATATACCCAAGTTTAACAATTTGTAGAAAACTTCAAAAAAGTGCAACAAAATTTCACCTAAATTTCAAACTTTTTTCTCGGAAGTGTTAGAATTTTTTTTAGTACACAGTTTTTTAGCCCCTGCAATTTTAGTCTGATAATGTGCAAATTTCAAGTAGCTACCAGTTACCGTTAATTTTTTAGATTAATATAATATTAATATAATATTTAATGAATAAACTCAATTTATTTGTATATGGAAGAAAACCGCAACACCTTTGGCGAAAAAAATTCTAAAAAATCAACGGTAACCTTTAGCCACCTCAAACTTGCACATTATCAGACTAAAATTGATTGGGCTATAAAACTGTGTATTCAGAAAAATTCAAACACTTCCGATAAAAAAGTTTGAAAATTATATGAAATTTTGTTGCACTTTTTTGTAGTTTTCTACAAATTGTTAATCTTGGGTTTATATGGGATTTGTTAGAGAAAGAACTATATTTTAATTGAAAATTGAATTTCTTAAAAATAAATAAATAAACATAAGTGCTACACAATATCACTTTGAAATGGCGTGCTATAGATATGACCGATACTGTACATACATACATATACACATTTAGTAGTAAAAACTTCGACCACGCAGAAGTAGATATTCCAGAAATTGATAGTAATAAAGATTGAAAGTATGTACATACATGAATTTGTGCTGATTTGTCCGCATGATTAACATTAACTAAAAATTGAAGAGGTTTAATTAAACCATATTTTGGCAGAGAAAAGTGCGAGTGCATTTTTAGGAGTCAATGATGGGACTCCAATTCGAAAGATATACAATAACGTGTACAGATAGATACTAGATGATGTTTAAACTTGAAGTTGGAGTTTTGAAAATGAGTTTTATATCAACGTCAGAAGAGGCTCTAAACATTTTATGAATCTGCACGTACATATCCATTTAAGAAAGTATTTTATTTACTATACACTCGTATTTAGTTTTTACCTCACTAGTTTGTATATTTTGTCTTTTTTAAGAGCTTTGTCGATGTGTGCACATGTTTTCAAGTAATAACTCTTTCATACTATTGGCAAAGCCTTTCCTGGCTAGATTTAATTCCGAGACGGTTAGATAACACCCATAAAATTTTATGTTTTAAAACAACTTGAGGTTCAGTTTAAAACTAATACGCTTCTAATATTATTTGCCAACTTTGATCTGAGGTGCGTTTTGCTTTCTTAACTTGATGAAAAGCTAGTTCTAAACACATTTTCCTATTTTTTCTCCAAAATAATTTGAAACGCTATCAATTAGTTTTTTTTCGAATTTCTGAATGACAACAAAAGTTTTCGAACTAACTAAAACTATTAATACAAGCCATGAACTGTATATAAAATTTAAATAATAACCAGGCAGGTTCTGAAATTCCCTTCCGAGTAAAAAAAATGTTCGGATATCATTCACTTCACTTGAAGTTTGTGAAATTGATGCAAGCGAACATATAAGAAAATGAAACTGCTTAAATTTTGCAAAAAATAAATTTAAAAGTAGTTTATTTTGACAATAAAAATAACTATTAATACTGTTATAAGCGTATCCAATAAAATATGTTTCGGTTAACTCTATCTCAACTTTATTCTTGAACTGCATTAAAGTGTCTGTCTACCTTCTAGAGATTGCAATCAGTTATCGCCCATATAATATTAGGCTACAGTTCACAACATTTCATATAACTTAAGCTATGTTCACAACATGTTCACAACATGTTCTATAACGCAAGCTATGTTCAGAACATCTCCCTTTTCCTAGTTTTTTATTTTATTTTTTCATATGTTATCTTCTCCAGTAATATACAATCACATAACGTTTATCAAACATACATATGGCCTTATTCATAAAAAATAAAGTAGCTTTATAAAAGGCTTATAAATTCAAAAATGTATGAAAACGTCAATTTATAAAGCTCTTTAAACCTACTTTATTTTTTTTGAATAACGCCATTAGTCTTTAAAATAATTTGGTTTTTTTTAAGTACGACCCGATCTAGTTGTTATAACAGGGTTGCTATGCATATTTACATCTGTCTCAGAATTATTTACAGCATTCATAGAGTTGTTATTGTCATTACACCCATTAGATTGATTCAAATTACAATTTGTATTATGATGAGTGTTCAAATCTCTTTGTGCGGGCTCTTCAATTGGTATATCTAAATCACCTTGCATTTCATTAAAATTTGTACCTTTAGATAGACTTTTCCGATTACGAGTTATAATAGTATTCTGCCTTGCTTGTGCTTTGTAAGATCTTGGATGTTGGTGTTTACCGATAATTATGCCACTTTGATGCGGCCAGCCCTTTT